TAAGAAAAGACACAAGATTTTTGCCAATATGAATTACTTCGTTGGAACCATAATGACAACTCACAAGACAAAACTCAGAATATCGAACAGTACTTAATGCATCCGTTCTTAATTCGTCAGATATCTAAATAGAAAACGAAAAAAATGAATAAATAAATTATACTGATCTATTAGAATTGATTCATCAAATCAAAGTAGATATATTAAAATGACACAAAAAAGAAAGTTTAATACAAGGGAATATAAATGCAGATTCCTAGCAACCAGTATCTGCTCAGCACTTTTCCAGCATCTGATGCTGAGGTACTGAGCAGGTATGGATACTAGGAGCCTGCACTTATAAGTAGGCCACAAATAAAAGTAATCCTTACATATTGAACAACATGTAAGAGCCATTCGAATTGTTCAATTAGAAGATATTTGAGTTGCACAGTCATTGAAATGAGATGAGCCAATACTTTTTCACGTATTTCATTCCGTTCTATTGGTTCGTCACAATTAGCTAGAAAAAAAAAATACATTCTCTGTGATTATCATAAGAATATTTGTCAAACAATGAAATAGACTTATTCTAATTGATATTCTCTGAGGAGTGTACAAGAACTGAGAAATAGTAATTCCTACTCAATTTTTTCAAAGTTCCTTCATTGACAATGCATCATTTACAAGATTTTTCGCATCTACATTTACATTCACAAAGAACTGTGTAAAAATGAATATGTGGATCTACAAAACCGTGTAGGATATCCACCATTTTGACTATTGCGAAGCATGGAACTGAGAGCAAGTTTAGAATTAATTCCCAATTTTCCGGGAAATAATCATCGCTCTGCAGATAATGATAGTGCTCGCTATTTTAGGAATTCCTATCTTTCAATTCTTGGACATTGCTAGGTTGATCTGTGACAAATGCAGAATGTATTGCAACAGTGAACGGAATTCGAATACAGAGCTTCAATACTCGTATTCTAAACTGGGTACCACTCAATCACTTTTTCCACAAATCGATTTTTCTCGTGGCTGCTCAAATACTTGTCAGCATTAGTAATTGCAAAATCCACGTTCAAAGGCACACTATAACTATCAAAATATCAAATTAAAAAGTCCATTTCATGGCGATCATTTTAAGGAAAATAGTTTTAGACAAAATTTAAAACTATAAAAAAAAGTTGCAAATAATATTTTCTTTTAGCTATAAATGAAGAATAAATTTTATTCATTTGAAATCATACAAAAAAAAAGGAAACTTAATACTAACCATTTTCCCGATCAAACCATGTTCCAAATTGAATTTTTGTAATATTTCGAAAAGGCATATCGATCGTCTGGTATCGACTCATTTTGGATAAGATTCTCAATGACATCAGAAGATCTGACTCGTCAAAACTTATATTACGTCCTATAACAAGAAAAAGAAATTTTATTTACTTTAAATATTGTTTTAGTTATTTTTCCATTAGATTTAGCTGAAAACAAGATAGATGAAATTTTTCTTCTCGTATAATTGTTTCGTGAAAATTAATGCTTTCTATTTTCCTCTATCGTTTTTTTTAGAAACTAGACGCAAAGAAATTATGTGAATATGTACTTCTTCAGTTATCAAAAAAACTATTGAAATAGAAAAACAATTTACTTTTGTATACTTTAATACAAGAAATATTAGGAGATAATTCATTGAATTGTTCGAGAAATAAAGTGATGGATGTAACTGAAACCAGGTATCGCCAATATGTGGCCAATTGAAAATATTTGGATAATTACTAAAAGAAAAGAACATAATTGAGTTGAGAAGATCTCAACAGATATCTCACATCAGACTATCAAACAATTGAACTGTATTAGAAGAAGAGAAAAGATGTTGACATGACATGATTGGATTAAATAAACATTTAACATTTGTCCATTGATGTGAAATAAAAAAAAGAATGAATTTTAAATGAATTAATTATTTTTTCTATATCATTAAATGATAATTGACATTCTGAATAAATATAAAAATTGAAATAAATTAAATTCGGTATTGTATCTGGTAAACAATATTCTCGAATGAAATTGGCATCAATAAAAGATTTCCATATTTTTTGACACCTCGTTTCAATTAGTTTATCACTTTTAAAATGAAGTCGAAGTTTTTCAACATGATTTAAATTGTTGAGAAGCCATTTCAAATAAACAAATTGTAAATCTTCGTAAATGAAAGTTTGTAAACTTAAATATCGTAGTTTTGGTACCTAAAAAAGGTTTCAATTGTTTTTATTAGTCAAAACCAAAAACTATGTTGAGAAATTCATAAAATAAAAAAAAAAGATGATTTTTCTAACTTTATTAAACCAATTTCTATTTGATTTTCTCAGCGTTTCAACATTCGATTTCCATAATGGATCTAATCTCAATGAAGAATCAAACTGAACTGACATTTGTTCGAGATTGGGTACATGTTTGATAATACTTTCCAGAAAATATGTATATTTAAGTCGAATAAATAAACGACGAAGAGTCATACAACAAGATTGAGGTTGACATCGCATAAAATTCGAAGATAGATGAGAATTTGATGTTAAACATCGATGAATATTACCATCCATTAGTTCGTTGCTAATATCAAGTCGAAGAGTTGTTAATTGACATTGACCAGAGAATAGTTGACAAAGAAATTGTTTGAGTATGATCATTTGTTTTTCTATTATGTGTCAAAGAAAAGCAAAGG